CAGCATGCAGGGTTGAGTCCGCATGGCAGGCCCTGGCCAGTGCCCTGTTCACAGGCTCCTACAACCCCGTGACGCTCGGCCTGTTCACCCTGGTCTACTTCTTCTTGGCCTGCTGGACCTATGGGCTCACGGTGTCGGCCGGCGTCTTCATTCCGTCCCTGCTTATTGGGGCCGCCTGGGGCAGGCTCTTCGGCATCTCCCTGTCCTACATCACGGGGGCCGCGGTGAGTGCGGGTCCGCCGAGCCGCAGTCGGACCCAGAGCCCTGGGAGAGCTCGGTGGGCTCAGGAGTCCAGGGTTGGGGGGCGGGGTCTGGGGGTGCGGAGCTCAGGCCTCAGCCCTGGTGCTGCCTCCTGCTTGCCTCCCGCCTGCCTCTGGCTGGCTTGGCCTTCATCCTGTGGACCTTCCAAGCTGTATCGTGGTCGTTCAGACAAGACCTTAAAAAGCCGTCAGAGGAGTACAGTGAGCCTCCCCTCACCAGGTTCAGGTCGTTGTCCCAGGTTTCCTTCCAGACACAGTTTTGACTTTCATCATGGTGACTTTCATACTGTAAACTCCTACTTTGTGGAAGTGAAGGGTTGGGTAGCTCTTCAGCGTGTTGCAGAGCTGTGTGACCACAACCACCACCAAGTTCCAGGGTGTTCTTGTTACCCCAGAAGGACACCTGTCCGCATTAGGCAGTCACGTTTGTGTCCCCGCCCCCGGCAGCCCTGGTCAGCTTTCTGCCTCCGTGGACATGCCTCTGCTGGCTATTGCAGTGATCCGTCTGTGCAGGCAGGCCATCGTGAGCGTCGTGTTTTCACAGCTCGCCTGTGCGGTGGCACAAGTTAGGTTTTCACTCCTTTCTCCTCTTCCTGGTGTGGCCCAGGTATTTGTGCATGGACTCCTGCCCACACCCGGCCCCACCCCAGCATAGCGCATGCCCGTCTCTCAGGCGACCAGGTTCATTTGTCTCTGGGCAGGCATGGTGAGCGTGTTCACAGACTCAGGTGACGCTCTCGTGGACTCGCTCCTGGGCAGTGTGGTCAGTGCGGCCTAGGTGGGTTTGGGTCGGGACTGCCACGCCCCTCAGCACCCTGTGTCTTCCCTGCAGGTCTGGGCGGACCCTGGCAAGTATGCCCTAATGGGAGCTGCTGCCCAGCTGGGTGAGTGCTGGCCACCACGTGGGTGTCCTGAGATTGGGAGGGCCCCCACCTCCCCCACCCCCATCTGGTGCTGCCTGGGGGCCAGGCCACGGGGTTGGATGGACGGCGGGGTGTTGCACAGGGGACTGTCAGGGGCTGGTGCCCCACCCGCCCAGTCTCGCCCTCCCACTCCCCCGGGCAGGTGGGATCGTGAGGATGACGCTGAGCCTGACGGTCATCATGATGGAGGCCACCAGCAACGTGACCTACGGCTTCCCCATCATGCTGGTGCTCATGACCGCCAAGATTGTGGGGGATGTCTTTATTGAGGTGTGGCAGGGTAACCGAGGGTCGGCGGCCGCGGTGAGGGTGGGCCCGTGGGGGCAGCCCCCAGCAGCCTCGTGCATGGCTGCGCCTGCTCTCCCCAGGGCCTGTACGACATGCACATCCAGCTGCAGAGCGTGCCCTTCCTGCACTGGGAGGCCCCCGTCACCTCGCACTCACTCACCGCCAGGTACGCTCCGGGCAGGCCGGCAGGCTGGGCGGGTGCTGGACGCCCTGGGAGGCCTTGTCAGCCACGCGGTGGGTCACGGCGTGGCTCTTCCCCAGGGAGGTGATGAGCACACCAGTCACCTGCCTGCGGAGGAGGGAGAAGGTGGGCGTCATCGTGGACGTGCTGAGCAGCACGGCGTCCAACCACAACGGCTTCCCCGTGGTGGAGGATGCTGACGGCACGCAGGTACTGACCCCTGTGGAAGGCCGGGCTGCCACCTGTGCTGGCCAGAGCGGCGAGTGGGGGTGGGCTCCCATGAAGGGGGGTGTCTTGCTCTGGGGTTTCTGGTAGAAGCCACTGCTCACACTGCCATGCCCATGAGCGCAGTTTCCGCAGTGTGGGTGGTTACTGAAGCACTCTAGCGTCTTGTCCTACCCCAGGCTGTACCGCTAGCTGGGGAGTCAGGGCTGTGACTGTCAGGGTCATGACAGGACATGCAGCCGTGCTGCCTCCGGCATCGGGGCCAGGAGCTAGGGTCTGCTGCTTGCCCCCACAAACACAACGATCTCTCAGCACCTCTTGCTCTGGGTCCTGCCACCTTTTCTGGCATTTGGGGACCAGTAAGCCTGCCCGGGGAAGTGCCTGCAGCATGGCTAGTGCCCGTGGGCTGCCGGCATCACCTGGGAGCCTGGCTGGAGCCCCCAGTTGTCCTGGCACTGGCAGCCGGCAGCCCAGACGGCAGGGTGGGTCCCGGGGCTCCTGCAGACGCGATGTCTCTCGTGCAGCCAGCTCGGCTCCAGGGCTTGATCCTGCGCTCGCAGCTCATCGTCCTGCTGAAGCACAAGGTAGGGCATCAGGTGGCCTGGGAGCCGGGCAGGGCCCTGAGCTCAGCCTTCAGTGCCTGACGCCCACCCCACCGTCCACCCCGCCTCCTGCAGGTGTTCGTGGAGCGCTCCAGCATGGGCCTGCTGCGACGCCGGCTGCGGCTGAAGGACTTCCGCGATGCCTACCCGCGCTTCCCCCCAATCCAGTCCATCCACGTGTCGCAGGACGAGCGGGAGTGCACCATGGACCTGTCCGAGTTCATGAATCCCTCACCCTACACGGTGCCCCAGGTACTGCTGGGGGATCCTGCCCCGTCCCCTCCTGGGTGGGGCAGGGCTGGCGGGTGAGCTGAGGCCGTGTCCATGTTGCAGGAGGCGTCGCTCCCACGGGTGTTCAAGCTGTTCCGGGCCCTGGGCCTCCGGCACCTGGTGGTAGTGGACAATTGCAATCAGGTGAGGGGGGCCCGCTGCCCCTGGCCTGCCTGCCCGCCCCCAGGGCTCCCCCAGGCTGTGCCATCCCCAGGGTAGGGGCATCCACGGAGGGGACACTGTGCCTCATGACCCAGCTCTGCTCCCTCAGGTGGTCGGGATGGTGACCAGGAAGGACCTGGCCAGGTACCGGCTTGGAAAGGGGGGCCTGGAGGAGCTCTCTCTGGCCCAGACGTGAGGCCCTGGAGCCCGCACCTCCCCCAGGGCCCCCGCCTCACTCCCTGGCAGCAGATCCAGCGACCACGAGGCGTTGGGGATGGCCCGGCCAGCGTGTGGCGCACGTGGGCGCTCTGTTCTCAGTGTCCCATCCCCCAACCTCACCCCGGGAATCCCACACCCAGCCTCCTGTTCCTGGTTCTTCAGGAATCTGTGCAACTGCTGCTGTCTTCCCAAGAGCCCATGAGCACACGTGTGTGCGAGGGGACAGCTGGCGAGCAGGGGCCCCTGGGTCCGAGTGCTGCAGCCCCACGATGGGCTGGCTCCTAGGCCTGCACCCTGCGCGCTGCCAGCGGCTGCAGCGGACGCCCCTGGCCCTGGCCCTCAGGCCTCGGCTTGGTTGGTGGCCGTCAGGTTTTGGGTCTGGGCAGAGACCTGAGCTTCAGGCACAGAGGCGAGGGCTCGGGGAGCGGGACCATCCTGGAGCGCAGGCCCCAGAGCCGGACTCCCAGACACACCTCTGCAGCCCCGGCCTCGCCCCCCTCAGTGCTGTGGGCTTTGCGCCAGGGTCTGGGCCCAGGGGGAGAGCTGAGACCCTCCTGCAGGCCTGGACCCCCGAGTCCAACCACGCCTCACCACGCCCCTGTGGACGCCGCTGGGAAGGCGGATCTTGGCGCACGGAATCCCAGTGGCCCTGAGCGATACTCGGTAGCAGCTCTGCTTCCGGTATCTGGGACAGGGGATTTCTGGGATGAGTCGGCGAGCCCAGAGCAGGGACGCACCCTTCCCAGGCTGGGCAGGCCCAGAGCTGGGATACTGTGTCCCTGAGAGCCACAGGACCTTTATTCTGCAGGGACTGGCGTCCCTGGCCCACTCTGATGGTAGCTATGGATGGCTCTGTGATAGGTGGGTGGGCACTCCAGCTGGGTTTCAGCTCCTTTTAAGGGGGTGGGGCCTCGGAAGGTGGCTCTTTTCCTGGTGGGGAAGTGCTCTGTGGTGGGCATGGGCGTCCAAGTGTGGGGATCTGAATGGGAGAAATAAAGGAATGGTACTGATGAGTGGTGTCAGCTCCTTATCCCCCCCAGTGTGGACCCTGATCTAGCACCCAGGATTCACCGGCTCACAGGGGTGGAGGTGGGGGATACCCCAGCGGGGACTCCTCTTGAGTGGGGGATGCAGGTGAGGGGCTCAGAGACCGCTGGATGGGGAAGTGTCTGGGGCCACCCTATGCCCCAGGGAGGGTGGGCCCCGGCCACCACATCCTCGTCCACGTTGGCTCTTGGGAACATCACAGAGCCCTTGGAGAAGGCGGTCTTCCCTCCTGCCTCCTGACCACGGCCCCGCTCCCCACACATGGGGGCCCCTAGGCCATGGCTGCTCGGTCAGGGTGCCGCCCCTCAGTGCCACCCTGTCCCTCACCTGCCGGCCTCCAGGGTGTGTGATGTGGCTGCAGGGTGTCGGGCTCCCTGGGGAGGGGTCCCCTTTGACACAGACACCTTGTCACAGGGAAGCCCCCGATCCCTCGTGGGCAGGTCTGGCAACAGTGGGAGGGGGACCACCTGGGTGGTGTGAGGGGCCCCGAGTGTCCACACGGGCCTGAAGCCTGATGCGGCACCCCCAGCACCGGGTTGCAGGCCGAGGCGCGAGGAGAGCGCGGGCACCGCCCCACCGCCGGGTGTTGACGTCGAGTGAGGGGCCGGGGGCCTGTTAGTTATCCCCTTAGAGCAGGCTGCAGGTTCACTCGGCCTGCACTTCCTCGCGGGGCTGCGCCTCCCCTACGGCCGCGCCCTCCGGGTGGCCTGCCCCGACCCCACCCCATTGCCCCCGTTGCCCCCTGCCTGGCCGCCCACCTGTGCTCGGTATGGCCCCGGCCTCCAGCCTACCCGCTTGGGCTCCCTGGCCAGAGGGCGGGTGATCGCTTCCAGGCCACCCTTCCCACCAGGCTAGGGGCTCCCGGGCTGACCCAGCGGCCGGCAGCCACTCCCCCGACTGGCAGAGGGGCGTCCCCTCAGGGCCGTCCAAGAGTGGGCAGTTTGGGCAGCCTCACTGGGACAGGGAAGCTGAGGGTTCGGGTTCCGCTGGCAGTTGGGCCGTGAAGTCAGGAGGTTCTGCTGAGGAGAAGGTTCCGGCAGAGCCCTGCTGCCCTCCAACCTTGGTTTTGTCCCGGAAGGAGGGATGTGAGGTCAGGGCAGCCTCTTTGGGCCCCACGTGCTCCCCCAACCCCAGAGCTCCGGCTCTGACTCCCCACCGTCCCCCCACCACCCTTCACCCCCACGCCCGGGGCCGACTCTGGGCCGCTGTGGGGCGCGAGGCCCAGGCCTCCTGGCAGCAGGCCGACAACAAGTGGGCTGCAGATGAAGCTCTGAGTTGCGGCTGGAGCTGGGGGGACCCCCAGGTGAGAGCTTCTGTGCCCCGTGAGACCCCCAGGTCCCCTCACAGCCCAGGCTGCCCTTGGGCTGGCAGGCACCGTCCCGCTCTTGCTGTCCAGCGCTGTGTGTCCTCAGGTGGGGCCTGGACCTCTCTGAGCCTGAGCTTCCTGTGTGGACGGCGAGAGCCGAGCCCTCCCTGGGCCCTCGGTGAGCCCTTCCTGTGTGGCCCAGCGGGATGAGCCATGGTGAGCACAGTGGGTGCCTGCGGCAGGGTCTGGGGTCCATCTGGGAGCAACTCCCCCGTCAGCCCCAAAGGCGAACCCCAAGCTACCTTCTCGTAGAGCGGACAGACAGCAGCCCCTCATCCGAGGCCTCACCGCCCTCCCAGCTGAGCACCATCGCCCCGGAGGACCTGGGGCTCCTGGAGGAAGAGTTGGCCAGCCCTGAGTCCCTGAGCCCAGAGGAGGTCTCGGAGAAGGATGCGTGCAGCCACCTGCCGTCCGATGCATCCAACCCAGAGCAGGGCACCCCGAAGCACTGGAAGCAGCTGAAGAAGTGGTGAGCCTCTGGGGCAGGTGGGGGAGCCTCACAGTCAGGACTGCTGCCCCACACAGACAGCCGACTCAGCCTGCTCCTCGCCCTGCAGGGTGGCTGGCCTGCAGGCCGAGGTGGCGTCCCTGCGGGGACACAGGGCCCGCTGCGATCATGCCACGCTGAGCCTGCTGCGGGAGCTGCTGCAGGTGCGGGCCTGCCTGCAGCTGCAGGACGCACAGCTGAAGAGGCTGCAGCTGGAGGCGCGGCAGGCGGTTTCAGCCCCCGAGAAGGAAGCCGTCCAGGTGGGGCGTGTCCCGAGGCCTGGGGGCAGCGCCTCCCTGGATCCTGAGCCCCACTCAGCCCAGTCCCAACACCCCGACAACCCCCGGGGTCCAGCTCCGAGGCACCTGCTGCACTCAGCCCACATCTCTGCCTCACAGCTCCCTGGCCCACAGCAGCAGAATCAGATGCAGGCTCTGGACAAGAGGTACCACCCCCCGTACCCCCCACTCACGGAGCAGGCCTGGGGGAGGAAGAGGGGCTTTGGGGAAGCAGCCACTGATGCCTGGCCAGCGCTGGCCCCAGCCCCGGGCTTTGGTTCCCTCCAACGTGGCGTCTTGCTCAGGTTAGCAAATCCGCCCGCAGCTCCGCTCGAGAAGGCCTGGTTGCTAGAGCCCGGGAGCCCCGGAGCCCGGGAAGGGGGCTGAGGCTTGGCCAGGCCCCCACCCCGAAGGCTGCCCAGCCTGCTCCTGGCTGCCAGGAGGGGGTGGGTGGGCCCCAGGCTCCAGGCAGAGGTGCCTCTTATGTGCCAGGCTGGTGGAAGTCCGGGAGGCCCTGACCCAGATCCGGAGGAAGCAGGCGCTCCAGGACTCCGAGCGGAAGGGCGCCGAGCAGGAGACTAGCCTCAGGTGGGCCCCTCGGGAGGCGGTCTCTGGACCTGACGAGTGGCCGTGGGGGCGTCCCATGGCACGGTAGGCGTCCCCCCTGCCCTGGGTGTCAACCTGCTGGTTGACTGGAGACCTCAGAACCCCTGTGGGCCCTCTGTGGGGAAAAGACACTCGAGCCCGGGGTCCCCACACCTCCCCTCCCCCGTCATCACACTCAGAAGGAGCCCAGCTCTCACCATCCCGGGGTGGGGGCACTGGGGGGACACGTACTGGGCTTCTGTTCTCTTGAGAGCATTTACCCCGGCGGGGTTGGACCCCCTGCTATGCCAGCCCTTGGATCAGTCTCTGCCCCGTGGATACAGGCTCAGGCCTGAGAAGGACTTGGTGTCCAGGCCCCTGCAGCATCCCTGGGGCCCCCCAAGTCCCTCCGGCCTGCTGGGCTGCAGTCATCTGCAGCCGTTGCCCCCAGGCTGTCTGAGCTGACCGGGAAGCTGAAGCAGGAGGAGCAGGACCGCGAGGTGGCCTGCGGGGCCCTGCAGAAGAGCCAGGAGGAGGCGGGCCAGAAGCTGGACCACCAGGTGGCCAGGATGCAGGTACCTGGGAGGCCCAGGCCCGGCCCAGGCGTCTGAGCGGCCGATGAGCTGCCAGTGAGCTGGTCCACGCCGGACCCCTCCCAGCCGGCGTCTCCTCTGTTGGCGGGCTCTTCCTTTCCCCAGCTCTTTTTTGGTTCTGTCCATGTGTTTGGACCTGGGCCAACCCCCAAGACCTATGCTGTCCACCATGGTGGCGACTGGCCACGGGTGTCTCTGTATGTCGGCCCCTTGGTCACAAGAGCCAGGTCACCGTGCCCTGTGGCTGCCTGTGGCCGGCACCTACCGCTATGGCCGTGAGATGGAGCACATCCTTCCCCACAGAAAGTCCATCACGAGCGCCTCCCCGTCCCGAGGGACCAACCCCTGGACCAGGAAACAGAAGCTCATACCCTGAGGCCCTTCCCCACGCTCCACCCCCACACGTGGACATGCATATCCTGGAGGGCCCGCTGCTGGGCCAATGCACGTGGCCTAGAAGGTGAGGCCGGGGCCGTGCGCCTCTGGCCCAGCCTCTGCAGCTTGCAGATAGAGACCAGGCCCCACGCCACATCCCCAGCTGCTGCCCGCATAGCTCAGCTGCCCCGCTGCCTGCCACCCCGCCGCAGCCCTGTGGGAAGGCGGTGTGCCGGCCCCATCAAGAGGCAGGTGCTCCAGGCAGCGTCGGGGCCCAGGGTTCCCCACCCCCGGCTGACCCGCTGCTCCCCCAGTGCACCCCGGGGCACTGAGTGGGCTCCTTGGCCCGTGGTCATCTGTCTACTGTTGCCCATGGCTGCTCTGGCGCGGGAGCAACGAAGCTGGACGGTTGTGACAGAGACCCTGGGCCCATTGACCCAACCGTCTGCCTCCTGGTTCTTTACAGAAGCAGCCGAGCCTGGCTCTGGGTCAGCCTGCATGGGGCGGGGAGGCCCGTGTGGGCTCAGGGCACACCTGCCCTGGACTGGGGGTGGCCCTCCCGGCCTTAAAGGAGAGGGTGCTTCGTGCCTGTGGGCATGTGAGGGGGGGCACTGGGCAGAGCTGCACCCAGATCCCTGGCGAGGCAGGAAGGGAGCAATGGAGGGAGAAAGAGAAGGGCCTCCTCCCTGGGCCCGGGGATGAGGGCAGGCAGTGTGCGAGCGAACGTGTGTGTGTACACATGTTTGCATGTGTGCTCCTGTGCTCAAACGGACACCAAGGTCCTGGCAGGGGTGGGATCGGTGGCTGGTCTGCCGTGTCCCTTGGCCTGGGGGTCTGGGGGTTACTGTGGGTACCATGTTTGTCCTGGGCCCCCTCATAGCCCTTGGGGACCAGAGCCCCACCTGCCTGCCTGCCGTCCTCTGGAGGGTGTGACAGACCTGGCCCTGCAGGTGCAGGGACCAGGGCTGCCTCTGAAAGAGAAGGATGGGCAGAGCACAGCATGGCAATGGGGGCGAGGGGGCAGGCGTAGGGGATGCCTACGGCCATGGCAACCGCGTGGACCCCACCTGCAGGCCCAGATGACCAAGCTCGGGGAGGAGATGAGCCTCCGCTTCCTCAAGAGGGAGGCCAGGCTGTGTGGCTTCCTGCAGAAGAGCTTCCTGGCCCTGGAGAAGGTGGGCGCCTGAGGGGGGAGCGGGGGGCGGCTGCGTTCCCCACGCCCCGGGCTCATGGCTACTGGCCACTGCAGAGGATGAAGGCCTCGGAGAGTGCACGGCTGCGGGCGGAGAGCGCCCTGCGGGAGGAGCTGGAGGGCAGGTGGCAGCAGCTGCAGGAGCTGGACACGGAGCGTGTGCGGGCCCAGCAGGGCCAGTGCCAGGTGGGGAGGGGCGGTGCCAGGGGATCAGTGTGCCAGGCCCCCTCCGCCCGGCCGCAGGAGGAGTGCCACCTCCTGGAGCAGTGCCGGGGCCTGGACAAGGCCGTGGTCCAGCTGACTGAGTTCGTGCAGCAGAACCAGGTGTCGCTCAACCGCGTCCTGCTGGCCGAGCAGAAGGCCTGGTGGGTGTCTGAATGGGCCCTTGGGTGGGGCGGGTGTCCTCCTAGCACGGTGCCCCAGGGCAGAGGGGCAGCCTTGTAGTGGGGGCTCCCCTCAACACCCCGGCCTGTCCCTTGCAGGGTGCTCTGAGTGGTGGTGGACACAGCCCAGTTTAGTGGCCCCTGGGATGACACCCATCATCTCGTCCCTGGGGCCTCCTGGAAGGCTCAGAAGCCAGTGGCCCTGGTCCAGTGCCCAGGCTGGGGGCCAGCCTTGGCTGAGGGTCAGTCTCTCTCAGTGGCACCCACCCCCAGGGATGCCAAGGGGCAGTTGGAGGACAGCCGGGCTGGGGAGCTGGCCACCTACCTGCAGGAGAACCTAGAGGCCATGCAGCTGGCCGGGGAGCTGGCCCAGCAGGAGACACACGGCGCCCTGGAGCTGGTGAGGCGGCCGGGCGGGGGGCAGGCTCGCAGGGTCCCCCTTCGGGGCAGATGGCACACTCAGCCCCGCCCCCCGCAGCTCCGAGAGAAGAGCCAGGCCCTGGAGGTGTCCGTGGCCGAGCTGGTCAGGCAGGTGAAGGACCTGAGTGACCACTTCCTGGCCCTGAGCTGGCGGCTGGACCTGCAGGAGCATACACTGAGCATGCGGCTGCGGGAGGCAAGTGTCCCAGACAGGAGGGGCCCCGCCGCCCTGGCTGCACGGGCCCCGGGCTCCGAGCCCACAGTCTCCACAGAGCGGCCAGCGCAGCAGCCTCCTCCCTGGGGTTCTCCGTCTTCTTTCTCTAACAGCTTTATTGAGGTTCAGGGCACAGGCTGCACAGTCCAGCTTTTCAGAGCGTGTGATTCTGTGGTTCTTTGTGCATTCAGAGCTGTATGAGCACTACCACGGTCACTTCTAGAACCTTTCCTTCCCCTGCGAAGGACCCCCATGTGTCCGCAGACACTCCCCCTCCCCAGCCCCGGGCAAGCACTGATCTGCTTCTGTCTGTGGATCTGCCCGCTCTGGACGTTTCACATAAATGGGACCGAACACCCTGTGGCCTCTGTGAGTGCCTCTCACTGAGCGTCAATGTCCTAGGTCCATCCGTGCTATGTGTCAGCATGTGCCTCCTTTTCTCGGCTGACATCTCACCATGGACGCACCACAGCTTGTCCATCTGTCAGCAGATGGACCACTGAGCTGCTGCTCTTTGATGCCCTCAGTCCTGCTGTGAACACGTGTGCACATGTGAACACCCGTTGGCAGTGGGGCGGGCTGCCTGTTTTCAGTCCCTGTCTGCACAAGCTCGTGGGCTGCTGGAGCAGGGAGCCGGGTCTGGCCATGTTAGGGGTGTGCTCTGCGCAAGCTGGGGCCCTGCCCGGAGTTCCGGGCCTGCCGTGGGCCAGACCAGGCTGTGTCCAGTCAGTGTGGACCTGCGCAGACCTGAGGCGGGTGCTCATGCCCTCTGGGAGCTCTGCTGTGTGGGGGCGACCATGTCCGTCCGTCCCCCCGTGCCCCACCGCTCACTGGTGCCCACCCCCCAGACACAGAATGAGTGGGAAGCCGCAGAGCAGCGGTGGCGGCAAGGCCTGATATGCTGTCGAGAGGAGGCGGAGACGCACCTGCGAGAGGTGCAGGAGCGACTGGACCGCCTGCCCCAGCAGGTGGGTGAGGGCCGGGTGGCCTCCCCTCCTGCCGTGCCCGCCCTGAGCTGCCCGCCCACTCCACGTTTCAGATAGAGGCAGTCACTGACAAGTGTGTGCTTCACAAGAGCGACTCGGACTGCAAGATCTCTGCCGAGGCCACAGCCAGGTGAGGCCCGGCTCCCACACAGCCGGCAGGGCCTTCAGGGCAGGGCTTCCCCCCCCCACCCCAAGCAGGGCACAGTCGTCTTAGCACCACCTGTGGCCTCCCGGGCCTCCTGACGGTGGGCATTCTCCCCAAGTCCCCGCCCCTGTGGCTGTCCTGAGCCCTCCCTATCCCCACCTGGCCCAGCTTTGGGCTTGGGTCCTGCTGGGGGCTGCCGTCCCCCTGTCACCTCCTGGGGACCCCCCAGGGCCCACCGGAGGGGCGGCAAGGCTGAGCGCCCCTGCCCTGCCCAGGGCCTCCTCCCCCTGCCGCCCTGCATGCCCCCGCGGGCCCTCTCAGAGCCCAGCAGCCCCGCCTCTGTGCCCGCAGAGAGCTGGCGGTCGAGGCCGTGAGGCAGGAGCTGGCTGCCCTGCTGTCCTCCGTGCAGCTGCTCAGAGAGGGCAACCCCGGGCGCAAGATTGCCGAGATCCAGGGCAAGCTGGCCACGGTACCCTGGGCTGGCACACTTGGTGGGGGCAGGGGCTACGCAGACTTCCCCCTACCAGGGAGGCTCAGATCCAGGATGCCGCCTGGCGGGTGGAGGCAAGGCTCATGGAACCAGGCATCCTGCTGCTGGCTCTGCACCCCTCGGCCTCTGAGAGTGCCAGTGGGGGCTCCCACGTGGACTCCCGGGTGCTGGGGCACGTCCACGGTCACACGGGAGAGAGCGGCCCTGAATCCCGCCTTGTCACTGGGCAGAGTGATGCTCCCGGCTCCCACCCAGGGGCCAGGACCCTCTCATGGGAGAGTGCCTCCTGCGCCGAATGGCTGGGGTGGGGCCGCCCCTGGGGCTGCAGACTCCCTGCGTCCGTGCCCACGAATGGGGGCCATGTTTAGTTTCAGAACCAAATGATGAAACTGGAGACAAGCATCCAGGACAACAAGACCATCCAGAATCTTAAGTTTAATACAGAAACCAAGCTGGTGAGAGGTGGCCCCCGAGCTGGGCGCTCCCGCCCCCCAGGCCTGCAGGGGGCCACCCATGCTTTCCTCTGTGTGGAGCCTGACGCCCTGCTGCCCTTGCCACCCCCAGCCCAGCCACCCCCTAGCTCTCCTTTCTGCGCAGCCGTCTGTCTATGTGCGTGTCTGGCCCAAGCCGCGTTTCCCGGCAGATAAGGCCCGGGTTTGTCCAGAGGCAGATAATCCCCACTGGCGGGCCCTCGTCTAGTCCAACTCCCATGTCCACAGCGCGCGGAGGCGATGGCCACCCTGCAGGAGAGCGTGCTGCGCCTGTGGAGTGAGGAGGGCCCCTGGGCCCCGACGCTGGGCAGCAGGAGGGGCCCCATGTCCCTGGGGCGGCAGCAGCTCTTTGTCAAGGAGGTGGCCCCCGACGACGTGGTCCCTGTGAACCGCTGGGGCGTGTATCAGGCCGTGAGGTGGGCAGCGGGAGTCGCCTTCCAGAGCGCCTTCAGGTCTGGGTTCAGGGGAGGCCACAGGGCAGGGGATGGAGGTGGGCCCCGGGCCTGAGCCGTGTCTTGGGCAGGTGGCTACAGTGGAAGGCGGTTCTCATGAATCTGACATCCCAGCAGACGCCCAGCAGTGCGGCCCAGGAGAAGCCCCTCGGCCAGAAGCCTGCCCGCCAACTCTCATCCCTGCCCGTTCCCCAGAAATAAATGTGCCCGCCCCATTCCTGTCGGAGTCCAGAGTTCCCTCCCAGGGGCGGTCAGGAGGCCCTGAGCAGAGAAATCACCAAGAGGGTCTTTCCAAGACTTCCAGAACCCCTGTTCCAGCCTGAGCCACCGAGCCCAGGCCCCACGGCTCCCCGGGGACTCCCTCCCACAGCACTGTGGCCCCCGGGTGTTGGCTCCACACTGAGATAGCACCCTCTCCCCGCCCCACCAGAAAGCCCTCGGCCCAGTAGCTGGCCCTGGTGTGCTGTGGGCACCGCAAGGAGGGGCTGCCCTGGGGCCAGCCAGGTGGGCAGTGCAGAGGGCGGCCCTGCACCACTGGCTGGAACCTCGGGGGCTGGCCTGGGGGACATGGGATTCACCCACAGTGTGTAGACTCGAGCTCCCACCTCCGAGGGGCTGCAGCTCCTGCCCCGCCCTCCCTCCTATGGGCAGAGCCCCTGGGCAGCCCCGGCTGACCCCTGCCCTGGCCTGGGGAACCCCCACCTGAGCTGGTCCAAGTCCTGGTGGCTGCTGTGGCTGGGGGTCCCCTGGCTCCTTCCAGTTCAGCAGGAAAGCGAGTCCAGACGCCTGGTGCCCTCGGCTCACCCCCCACTGACCCTCAAGCGATCACTAGGCCTCGGCCAGCTGCACCTCCTCCAGGCCCGGGGCCCCCGAGCCCAGCAGCTCAGACCCAGCCTCTGCCGACCAGCTGGCCAGCAGGTCGCTGAAGTCGGGTGTGCCGGGGTGCAGCAGGCCCAGGGGACTGGGCGCCGGCTCCCTCCAGAAGGACGGGGGCAGCTTCCTCTGGGTCATGGGGGTGATGTGGCCGTACTTGCGCTCCAGCCTGAGTCGCCGGCTGCCCGCTGCCTGGGGCCCTGAGCACTGCCGCAGCCCGTAGTCAAAAAGCTCAGCCAGGGGCCCCAGCAGAGGCGGCCCGTCCCCGCCAAGGCCTGGCCCACGCGCCTGCCCCTCGGGGCACCCTGGGGAGCAGCCCCCAGGCTCGGTGGCCTCATGGTCTTCCGGGGGTGCGCTGCGGGCCGGGCGCACCAGGTCGGCGCAGGAGAGCTCCCTGGCTGAGCTGCTGGCTGGGCGGCTGTCGGCGTAGATGTCGCAGGTGTCGGGGTCCTGCCCCCGGTCCTTGCGGCCAAAGTACCGCTGGATGTCACCGCTGATGAGCTCCGAGAACCGCAACAGCTGCAGCGGCGTCTCCGGGCCACTGGGGTCCTGGGGGAGCACTTCAGGGGCCCAGCCTGGGCTGCGGGGGGCTGGGCTGTGGCCCTCTGGCCCCTCGGCCTCCAGCTCCTCCTCCTCCCCCTCCTCCTCCTCCTCAGAAGTGTCTGGGGGCTCCGGGGCCAAGGGCGGGAAGGGCCGGAGGGCTGGCAGGGGCAGCCGGAAGTCACAGAGCGGCCGGATGACTCCTGCAGCCATCTCGCGGAGCGTCGGGGCAGTGGGCGCCGGCTGTGAAGGAAGGCAGAGAGAGGACAGGGTAGCGGTCGGGGCCCCAGCCCCCCAGGGGGGCCACTGCAGGCTTGGGGCGGGTGCCGAGCTCAGGGATGGCTGATGTCTGGGGAGAGACAGGTGGTGGCCCGCGGGCAGGTGGGCGCGGCGGGAGTGGGCGTGCAGGCTGCAGTCACCCCGAGGGGCAGGTTCATCCTCCCCTGTGGGGGGTGCTGGCAAAAGTGCCCCTGAAACAGCGCCTCAGAGACGAGAGCGGTCCGGGGGGCAGGGAGCTGGCCAGGCTGGGCTGCGGGCGGGTTTGGGGTCCGCAGAGCGCTGTCCCAGCTCAGGGTTGCTGTGGCCCCTGACACACAGGCTGGCTGACGTGGCGTCTGCCCTGGGACAGGACAGGCCGGGGGCCCCCCTTGGTGCCCCCGCGAGCGTCTGTGGTTGGCAGGGTCCCCTGTGCCTGAGGCACCAGTGCTGAGCCTGGGAGGCCGGGCCTGGCTGCCTTGACCCAGCTGCTCTGTCCCTTGAAGTCTGGGGGCTTCAGGGGCCATGAGGGTGATGCTGGGGGGCCTCTGGGGGAGGGCAGAGCCATTTCTCCACCCCCACCGCCCCAGGCTTCCCTGTGCTCTCTGTGGGGAGGAGGGGGGTCACCTCGAGTGTCCCTAGCCTGAGGCTAGGTGTGGGGAGGTGGTGCAGGCAGGACTGGGGAAGTCACTGACAGGTTGGAGGCCAAGGGGGCCTGCGGGCTGGGTGGTGGGTGCAGGAAGCTGATTCTGAATGCGGGAGGCCCCCACCCTGGGACAGGCCGAGCTCCTCTGCTTCAGGGAGGCAGGCAGGCCAGCCCTTGGCCAAGAGGCCTCCTGGTGGGCGCCCTGGCAGGAGGCAGGAAGAGAGGGAAGGGGGTTCAGAGAGGGAGGGGGTCCCAACTTCAGGAAACCATGCTGTGTGGGGGGGAGGGGCGAGGAGTCGGAGTTAGGGGAGCTCCCCTCCCCCGCCCCCTTCCCCTGCCGTCTGCTCGAAGATCTGGGGTCTCTCTTCACGGCCTGGGTGTCCCAGTGTCGGGGTACAGATGGCCGCTGGTGGGGAGCCGAGCCTCGAGTGTCCTGTCTCCCCCTGGCCTGGGCTTGTCCTCAATGACCCAGCCCTCCCCACCCTGCTGGTAACCCCTCCCAGTGGGTGGGTGGTCTGCAGAGACCACCTGGGCAGAGGAGCCCACAGCCTTCTTCTGCCACCCGCGCCCGCCCGCCGCCCAGCCTGGCTCCTACCTGCCGCGGCCTGCAGCTCCCACTGGGCAGGCCCACCTCCACCTGGGCTCAAGCGTTTATAGCTGAGCTCCGTGGCCGGCCAGGCCGGCAAATATTTGATGACTGCATTGTCATCGCAGACTGGGCAAATAGAGCCCGTTTGCTTTAGCGCCCGGCAACCAGGGCCCCGCGGGGGGAGCCTCAGCCTGCCCGGGGATGGTGGAGTGTTTGCCGCTCGCCCAGCTGGCTCACACCCGGCGGAGGACCCTTATCTCAGCCGCTGATTGGGGCCCAGACCCAGCCTTGTCAAATAGGCGGAAAATTAAATTTCATGCTATTTTGACTTCTGGAGTAGCCTTCTCTAGAGGACATCCTGCCTCCGCAGCGTCCGGGGTGAGCGGGCTCTGGGCCAACAGTGGCCCTGAAAGCCCAGGAGGGTCAGGGACCACCAGCTGGGCCGCTCCCGCCACTTCCCACCGCTCCAGAGCTGCAGGTGCATGTGCAGCAAACCCCGAGGAGCCCCCGCCACCCCCAGGGCCTCGCCCTTGGCACCTCCTTCTCTGGCATCTGGGTCCTCCTCCGAGGGACTTGGTAGCCCCTCCAGCCCCGGGGGTCCCACCCAGGGGTGTCCTCACCACGTCTCCTGGGCGGTTTCAGTCGACACCGCAAGCAGGACCCCAGAAGGCCTGCCACCCTGCCAACCCCCGCCCAGGAGCCAGGCCCGGACCCCAGCATCTTCCCATCCTCCCTGCCCCCTCCATGTGCTGCTGCACTCACGTCCGGGGCCGCCCAGTCAGTTCCCAGCAAACCGGGGGCATGAGCAGAGCTGGGGGAGACTCTCACAGCCCTGGAGGCCAGCAGCCCAAAGTGAAAGGTCCTTCCCGAGGCTCTAGCGGGGAGCCCACCCGCCCTGCTGTCTTCTGGCATCTGGTGTCGCCTGTGATCCCAGGCTCCCAGCCTCCGCTCATCACAGGGCCGCCCCACCCCACCCGTGTCCTGTCCAAGCTTCCCTGCTCTTTCGAGAACACCTGTACCAGGACTGCGGGCCACTCCTGTCCCTCTGACCTCACCCTGACTTGATCTCACCCCACTGACTCTCCTTCCACGTGAGGGTCCCTTCTGAGGTTCATGTGGACACGGTTTGGAGGACACAGTTCCGCCTCGTCACCCACCATGCATGGGCATAGCTGGGTGCTTTCCTCCCGGACAGCAGCCCCAGTGCTGGGGGTGGGGGGTCTCCCAAAGCCTCCACTGCTCGGGGGCCAGGTTCCGAGCACAGGACAGCAGCCCCTCCCAGCCTGGGCCCCATGACCACTCACAGCCTGAGACCTCCCTCCGGCTGCAGGCCTCACCTGTCCACCCCCTCCCTGGGCCCTTCAGCTCCAGGTTCCAGCGCCCCCTCCAAGGGGGCGGCTCCCCTCCCATCCCACAGGGGTCCTAGTGGGGACTGTGGGGGGACTTGTCCCACTGGAAGCTGCCAGTCACTTCTCCGCCACCTGGAGGGCCCAACGCCTGGCTTCAGGACTGGCTTCAGGGAAGTGACAGGACATGCGAAGTTCTAACCTAGGGCCGTGACCCACCCCACGGGGGCCTTTGCAGCAGCCAAGGAAGGCTGGAGCTCGGTGTCCAGTGGCTGCCCAGGGTGGCTGGAATCTCAGGGTCCCTCTCTGCCCAGACACAGCCCCAAAGAGCACCCTCCATGACCTGCCCAGGACCCAGGCCTGGACCCCAGCATCTGCCCAGACCCCAGCTGCAGTGCCCACCACTGCCTGTCGGGAACAGCCAGGGCCCAGGCCTGGGAAAGGGCTGGAGTCCCTGGGGCAACTGGGTCAGCCCTGCAGGGTGGCGAGGGCAGTGCAATCTGGGTGGACGCCCAAGGAGAGCCTGTGGGTCAGTCTCCAGCCCTCGCCTGTGCCGGGCCCCTAGCTGGGGGGGCCCGGGCTGAGGAAGATGAGGTGCAGCCGTGCCCTGGAGAAGGTCCTGCCATGTGACCAGAGGGGGGCTTCACGAAGGACGGGGTCTGCGGGTGCTGAGGGGGCAGGGGCTCCCCCAGCCGAGCCGGGGGAGTGAAGGCGCTCCAGCAGAGGAGATGGCCTGGCGAGGACCCAGGGAGCTGGGAGCCGGCACCCCGTGGTCGGCTGAGGGATGGCCCCGAGGATGCCCACTCCCTCCCCCTGGGAACTGCCGAAGCCTTACCTGGCAGAGGGACCCAGCAGGACTGACTGAGTGAAGGACCCTGAGGCAGGAGGCAGCCCTGGGTTACCCCACCGGCCGTAATTCACAGAGGGAAGGTGGAGGGTCCAAGCGCGGGGTGAGGGGACATGGGGAG